AGCAGGAATTTATCAGTTGCATGTACCATGTTACAACACTGTTTGAAGAAATATAGCAAAAACAAACTCAAGTTACTCAAAGAAAAAAAATGAAGAGAACTGGTTTAAGACCACTGAAATCTACCATGTTTTTCTTGCTTTCTATTCAGAATGGATATTCTAAGCAATAGTTTCTAGATATCCTACTGACCCACCAAATACTATGCTCCAGTAACAGTATTTCCACTGCCAATTTCAACCACTACTGACTAGGAATTCACACACAATACAGACTACACTTGTACAATAAAGCAGGACTTTTTTATTTTAAGACACGTTGATTTCAATTCCCTAGATATCTTTTGATTAGAGCCATCTGCAATTGAACAAATACTTACCACGATGGCATAGCCATGTTCATGTTCAAAGAAACTGGCATAACTGGCCTAGAAATGAGAATGAACAACACTGACATAAGATACATACTGAAATTTAACAATGCAGATGCAGTTATGGCATGAAATTACATATGCCAATTTCTGTCTTACTTTTAAAATCATAATTAACATTAGCTACTTTGTAGCATCTCTTCAAGAAATCTCTCCTGAAACCTGCTAGCCCAAACACATTTAATGTTCAGAGCTGAACTGCCACTTTCCATAGACAGCAAGCAAAATGTGTCTGTGCATATATAGCATATACATATGAGATATAGATAAGCACATAACATGAAGATGTTCCTCATTTTGTTATTTCTAAGTAACAGTTCTTTACCACAGCTCCATACATAGGCTCAGTGGATGAAGACACCTTATACAGCAGCATCAGCAAGCAGCCAAACACAGCACGGTGGTGGGTAAGAGTCTGGGCACACATGATTCTCTCAGCAGCAGAATCTGCTTACACTGTGTCTGCCTTCATCACAGGACTCATTCCCACCCTTGGGAATACCCACCCTGCTGCACAACTTCCTTTCAGACATGCCAATACAACTTCAATGACAACTTCAATGGACGATGCTCTAGACCAAGTCTTAATCTATTTAAATTGAAGTACTGCGGGGGAAAACTGAAGACAAAGGACAAGCAGGAAGAACAGCAGATACTGCTAAGCTCTTTTGGAATGGCTCAGCAAAGCATGGTCGTGTCATAAAATAAATAAATCACAGCCCAGTAACCAGTAATATACCTAAACATTGCTTACTTATTTCCCTATCATCCCCACTCCACATCTCCCAAGACTGCTGGGACAAAAGACAATCTGAATGTTGTGTTAAAATAAATTATGATTATACTTAATTAGTTTTTCTGTCATTAAGTAAATATTAGATAGGTCCTAATGCTTTATTTACTAACATCTGACCCTGCTCAGAAGTATTTCACTTCTCAGATTGCAGAGAGATGGCTCAAATGGCATAATTTGTTGAAAATATTAATATCCTGTGAACCTTTAAAACTTGCTGTAGGTAACAGGGAAATTTCATTTGCTAAATATGCACCTGAGTTTAAGTACATGTACCTAATACAAAGTATATTTAATGGTCAGTAAAATACAGAAAAACACCCCTTATTAAGAGCAGCTTTTAACATATGACTGTTGGGGGAAAAAAAGGCAACAAACAACCCAGTGAAAATAGAGTCTAAACAATCTACATTCACACATAAAACTTTCCACATCTGTTTTCAGTCTGAAGTAGCAACAGAAGTAAAAGATTAATAAAAAATGCAGTTTTGCCATAAGGTATATCACACATCAGTTACTAAAAATAATGAAATATTTAATAGCATCAACATTATTTTAGAGTGGCTTTTTATATAAAAATCAAATGCAGAGACATCCAGATCCCACTTGATTTCATTATGCATGCAAGTGTCTTAACGAGTAACTCTAGAGAAAAATCAAGAGAAGTTACAACTTACGCATGTGGGCAAATGTATTTTACATGGGGGCTTTTGATACCTGCAAGCGCTTCTGACCATCCATGCCTGTTAACAAAAAATACATTAAATGGCATTTATGTTTTGGCTTAGCTCTTATTTCTCTGTTGGTGCAGAAGAACTTAACAAGTATGACATATGCTGAATTAGATCAATTGAAACACATTTGCATAAAATTTCTGCATCAGCTTCAGTATGCTATGAATATAGAACTAAACTTAAAAAGGTTTGTTCTGCTTCTGCATACTTGTGTATATACAGCCAGGGACACTTTACCTAATTTGACTGCCACATTTGTGGCACAGCTGCAGAAATATCATTCTGGCTCTAGGCAAAGCCTGCTCTGTGTCTGGCTGGGTTTATTAACTGTGACTTTACAATGTATGAACACAGGTATCCTGCTTCCAGGCAGCTCCAGCCCAGAGGCTGCTTTGCTGCTCCTGTAGAGTTACAGCAGCTTCTTTCACAGCCAACTCTGTCAGAGGCAAACTGACATCTAAAGTAAAACTCCACACAGAGCCAACCTAATCAATCAGACCTATTAACTTCAGCTCAGCTTGAATGCTCTCAGATTCAGGCACTCCTGAACAACACTCCAGATTGCAGACAAGTCTTTTAATCTCAAGTACATATTGTATGAACGCACAGAACAATGGGAGATCTGCACAGCAGATGAGTTACCAAGATTCCTACAAACCAGAAAACTGGAAAGCATGGTTTAAAATAAAGAGCTCTGAAAGACTTACTCAAGGACTCATCTAGACACAAGCCAAGCTGGACCCAAATCTGAACCTGTGCAGTAGCACTGTGCCTGCACTTGGCTTTCCAGAATGTTCAACAGTGCCCTTTATTTCCTGATTTTTCTCCTTATTCAGAATTTCTAACTCAGTCACTAAACTAGATACTTGAAAGTTGATTGTAAGGAGAAAACACCTGTAACAAATCCATCAGTGACACAGATTAACTAATCAGATCAACATCAGACAAGCCATAAAAACATGTTTGGTTTAGTTTTAATTTCAGTACCATCCTGAATACTTAATGTATGCTATCTAAAGTTAAAGACATTTCAAACACACAAACAGCAGACATTTCAAACACTAGTTGTGTATTGCAACCTACTACCTACCAATACTTTTATATGTATTTACAAACTGAGTGTGATATTACTTGCATAGTATGTGCACACAGAAGACCAAAGAAGATTCTAAAGGAGAAATAAGACTGAGAAAAACTAGTCAGGTAAGAATTTGGGGGCTTTTTTTAGCCAAATATGAAGATTAACTTGACAAATTTAGAAAGCAACATTGTATACACATTTATGCAGACTCTTTAGCACAATCATCTATGTTGTACCTTTTGTTCAGATTTTGACATGTACCAAACATTAAGTGCCACTTATATAGGAGCTAAGAGAGAAAAAGAACATAACCTCTTGTTAGACACTTCACAGAGTATAAAAAAATACAGCAGATAAACTGAAGTGAGCAATTTAAAAATTCAAGTGGAGTAGACCAGGTCAGTTTAAGCTGGGGGAAATTATAAAACTGTTAATTCTCTTAGGATATTTTTTTTTATCATTACCTTGGGCTTTTTTGGAAAAAAAATGACAGTATGTTAAAGGCAGTTTTAGCTAACCTGATCTGCAGTGAACTACAGGCACAAATATAGCTAAAACATCATACTAGCACAGAGGTGTTAGGACTTGTCAATGCATACGTTCCAGTACGCTCAGTGCACTTGCAAGCTTGAGACTGCTCATTAGCTTTGTAACCAAAATGAAAATACCACATTTGTATAAGGAATACTAAAGAACCAACCTCTGTTGTGTTTTCAATTTTCCCCTTGCCAAAACCAGTATCAACCTAATTTACAAGCACTTAAATTCCAAATATTTAAAAAATTCTGCAGTTGCCTGCTGACCATTTGTTTCCAAGATGCAGGAAGCACTTGCTGCCTCAGCTGTGTCCTACCAGCAGAAAGGAAGAGGGATAATGCAAACAAGGTGATGTGTCAGCACAAGGAGTGAGAGCAAACATACACACTTGTAGAATATTGCCAAGTACATGGACTTGATTCTTCTTAACTTATTAAGTGTCCAGGTTATGCAAGTTTCAGTTTTGACAACTGACTTTTTTTCTAAGGTCTTCAGAAAAAGCTTGTCTTAAACATTGCAAGTTTCAACCTAGGGACAACACTCACTGTCCTGGGTAACATAACTGAGTTCTTAAAAAAAAAAAACTATGTAATTTTGTCCATAAGGGTGCAGAACAAAGTATTCATGCTACTTATTTTCAATATCTGAGTGCCACTTCCTTTTAAGTCTTCTACCAAAAAAAAGGTTTCAACACACTCCTGTCAGTTAATTCAACGTTTTTAATGAATGTATGCTTCTATCTCAGCACATACAAGCTGCAAATGATAACATTACACCACACCTAGAAAGCCTCTCAGAAATTCCCTAATCTTTCCATTTGTACTCAAACATGGAAGTAACAGGAACCAGGCAAACAGGGTATTTCGTATCTTGTTTGGGGTTCTTTTGTTTGGAGTGTGAAGATATACTTCAGATAGAGAAATCTGTAGACTACTTACGAGTTTGCATAGGTAAATCAAGTAAGCCTAGAATTTAATGTGTGACACACTGAAGAAGAAACAAAGGTGTAACTGCAACTACCAACAAACCAGTAATCCACAAGTTCAGAAAAAAAGAGAACTCTAAATTTAGAGAAGTACAGGAATAACCAGAAACACCCTCTCTGTCAGTTTGAAAGTGAAAGATCAGAAACACACAGACTTCTTTCTCCACCAAATTTGACTCAAGAGAGGGATCATATTCCGTCGAAATTAGGTAAGTGACTGAAAAGAAAAAGCTGTTGAGGACTTACTCTGAGACATTCTACATAAATAGTTGTCACCATCATTCCAGCGCACACAAAGTTTCATCTGTTGTTAGCCACTGCAGTCAGTTAAGGGCAAAATAAGAAGCTTAAGTAACTTAACTGCTCACGTCTTTAAAACATGCAGCCTTTTATTTGAAACGAAACAGCTATTAAGTATGTAATATCAGTATACACACCCAGTATCTCCCAGTCCATGGAGAAAAATGACCTAAAGGGAAAAAAAAACCCAAAAACATAGCGGTGTAAGATCACTGGCTGTAAACCCACCTAACCCACGTCCTACGGGCGCTCACGCAGGATCACACACACACACACACACACTGCTGGAACCAGGGCACGACTTTCTCTGACGAAGAGTCCGCTCACTTCCCACCCCCCCGGCCTCCCCGCCGCCACCAGCGGGCCCAGCCCGCCCGGGGCCGCCACACGGCGCCGCGGGGCCCG